ATGGATTTTGGTCTTCATCTATATTCATCTTCTACATCCACCCTTCTTTCTTATACGGATGCTGATTGGGGTGGGTGCCCAGATACACGACGTTCTACGTCTGGTTATTGTGTTTTTCTAGGAGATAACTTAATCTCTTGGTTCACCAAACGACAACCTACCTTATCACGATCTAGTGCATAAGCGGAATATCGAGGGATTGCCAATGTGGTTTCTGAGTCATGTTGGTTGAGAAACTTACTTTTGGAGCTTCATTGTCCAATTCAAAAGGCTACATTGGTATATTGTGATAATGTTAGTGCCATATACCTTGCTGGAAATCTTGTTCAGCATCAACGCACTAAGCATATTGAAATGGATATACATTTTGTTCAAGAAAAGGTTGCTCGCAGCCAGGTTCGAGTGCTTCATGTCCCCTCACGTTATCAAATTACAAATGTTTTCACCAAGGGTCTTCCGTTATTTGAGGATTTTCGAGAAAGTCTTAACATTCGACGACCTCCTGCTTCGACTGCGGGATGTGTTAGAATATATAATAATATATTCTGATTTATTATAATATATGTTAGGCGTATATTTAGTTCCTTATTTATAGCTAATTTGTTTCCCAATTTTAGACAAATTATACTCTGTATAATATCCGAATTATACTCTATATAATATCTAAATTATACTATGTATAATGTATATATAAATAGATGATTTTAATGAAATGGATCAAGGAATTATTCTCTTTTACTAACATATAATATGAATTCATATTTCCACTTATACAGAATTATATTATAAAATATGAGCAAGCTAGGCTATTAATTTATCTAAACTCTTGAGACCAAATGTGTGTTAAATTAGTGCAAGGTGGAAACTTTTGTTGGTTAAATTATAGAAAAAAAGTTTAGTAAGCAAAGTGAGGTACGTAAATATAGTATAAAAAAATGGATATAATTGCGTGGAAGATCAGAGGCAGCAATAGTCGCGGTGGTGGATAACAGCAAGCCAGTCAGCAAGCTCCGGCCAATGTCCCATGGCCTTGCGGACAACCGTGGCCTTGGCAGTGGATGGCTCCATGGGCTATACCTCCTTGTCCGTACCCTTCTAATTCATGGGTTAGGCCCAAATTTGGACAACAGCAGCGTCAACAGCCTGGTGTACTTGGGCCCAGACCTCTGCAAGCCTACACCGCAGCACCAACTCCAACAAACATAAAAGTCGCAATGCATACTCTCGGCATCAGTCCTCCGGATGCAAATTGGTACATGGACACTAGTGCTACTTCTCACATGACATCCGCACAAGGTAACTTCACGTCTTATTTTAATATGAGCAACAAACATGGTATAATTGTTAGTAACGGTCATTCAATTCCAATTCATGGCTATGGTCACACCAAATTGTCTTCCCCGTGTCCTCCTTTAACATTAAACAATGTCCTTCATGCTCCTCAACTTGTTAAAAACTTGGTGTTAGTTAGAAAGTTTACAACTCATAACTCTATTTCTGTTGAATTTGATCCCTTTGGATTTTCTGTGAAGGATTTTCAGACGGGGAAGCCTGTAATGAGGTGTGAGAGTCAGGGCGAGCTTTATCCCATCACCAAGCCTACAAATCCCATATACATTTCTTGTTGTAACACCATCTCCATGATCGTTTGGGTCACCCGGGAGCCCCTGTTTTGACCTCCCTTAAGAAGAATAAATTGATTAAGTGTAATCAAATTAAGGATTCTCGTATTTGCCATTCATGTCCTCTTAGAAAACATGTTACGTTGCCATTTTATGTTTTAAATTCTTGCACTATTATGCCATTTGATATTATCCATAGTGATCTTTGGACGTCACCTATTTTGAGTTCATCGGGTCATAGATATTATGTCTTGTTTGTGGATGATTATTCTAAATTTTTGTGGATGATTATTCTAAATTTTTGTGGACATTTCCTTTATCGCAAAAATCACAAACTTATTACACATTTTTTTATTTTAAATCCCTCATCCGAACTCAATTTGAACGAGACATAAAAAATATACAGTGTGATAATGGCACAAAATTTGATAATGGGCCTTTTTGGGAATTTTGTAAAGCTAATGGTATTTCTTTTCGTTTTTCATGTCCTCATACATCCCCTCAAAATGGGAAAGCTGAAAGACAAATCCGTACAATCAACAACATTGTCCGTACCTTATTGGCCCATGCTTCTTTTTCCCCTTCTTTTTGGCATCACGCTTTGCAAATGACAACTTACCTTCTCAATATTCTTCCCACAAGTTATTAAACTATCAATCTCCTCTCCGAATCCTTTATCAAAAGGACCCATCTTATTCTCATCTTCGGGTGTTTGGGTGTTTATGTTATCCTCTCATTCCTTCTACAACCATAAACAAACTTCAACCTCGGTCTACTTCTTGTGTTTTTTTGGAGTATCCTCCGAATCATCATGGTTACAAATGCTTTGATTTATCATCTCAAAAAATCATCATTAGCCGTCACGTAATATTTGATGAGACGCAATTTCCCTTTGTACAGTTACATACTCCTCAAAATCACACTTATGAGTTTTTAGACGATGGACCATCTCCCTACATGGTCTATCATTTCTCTACTCAAACAAGACCACAAGCTACTCCCTTACCCAACTCTCTAGAGCCCATTTTGCCGGATCCAGCAACCGACTTGCCCAACCAGCAACAAAGCCTTCCCATGCCGACTAAGCCGAGCCCCTCCACCCCACCTCCTATCCTACCCATCTCTCTTCCTCGCCCAACTCCAAGCTCACATCCAAGCCCACCAAAAAGGTTTGTTACTAGAAGCCAACATGGGATTTATAAGCCTAAAAAGCCCTTCACTCTTCTTACCTCTGTGTCTAAGTCCCCACTACCTCGTAACCCTGTATCTGCTCTTTGTGACCCGAATTGTAAAAAGGCTATGGATGATGAATATGATGCTCTTATTAATAATAAGACGTAGGAGTTGGTGCCCTGTCCACCTAATGTTAATGTAATTCGGTCTATGTGGATTTTTTCTCATAAAGACAAATCTGATAGTTCTTTTGAGAGGCATAAAGCTCGTCTTGTAGGTGATGGTAAAACTCAACAGGTTGGCGTGGATTGTGGTGAAATGTTTAGTCCGGTGGTCAAACCAGCAACTATTCGCATAGTTCTTAGTTTGGCTCTTTCTAAAGCTTGGTCTATTCATCAACTTGACGTAAAAAAATGCATTCTTACATGGAGAACTCAAGGAAATTGTTTACATGCATCAACCTTTGGGGTTTCGGGACCCTGATCGACCTAATCATGTGTGTTTTCTAAAGAAATTTCTTTATGGGCTTAAACAAGCCCCACGGGCTTGGTATAAGAGATTTGCTAACTATGTCCGTACTCTTGGGTTTTCTCACAGTACTGCGGATCATTCTTTGTTCATTTATCATCAAGGTACTTCTATGGCTTATTTATTGTTATATGTGGATGATATAATTTTGACTGCTTCTTCTGATGAGCTTCGTAAGTTTATCATATCCTGTCTTAGCTCGAAATTTGCTATGAAGGACTTGGGACCTTTGAGCTATTTTCTGGGCATCAATGTCACTCGTCATGTAGGTGGCTTATTTTTATCTATAAAAAAAATATGTTGCAGAGATCATTGACCGAGCTGGCATGTTATCGTGTAAGCCATCTCCTACTCCTGTTGATACCATACCAAAGATCAGTGCTGCTACAACCACACCTTTTGAGGATCTATCTCTTTATAGAAGTCTTGTAAGGGCTCTTCAGTACCTTACATTCACAAGACTCGACATTACATATGTCGTACAACATGTATGCTTATTCATGCATGACCTAAGGGAGGCGCACATGCACGCTCTCAAACGCATTTTGCGTTACCTTCAAGGTACTATGGATTTTGGTCTTCATCTATATTCATCTTCTACATCCACCCTTCTTTCTTATACGGATGCTGATTGGGGTGGGTGCCCAGATACACGACGTTCTACGTCTGGTTATTGTGTTTTTCTAGGAGATAACTTAATCTCTTGGTTCACCAAACGACAACCTACCTTATCACGATCTAGTGCATAAGCGGAATATCGAGGGATTGCCAATGTGGTTTCTGAGTCATGTTGGTTGAGAAACTTACTTTTGGAGCTTCATTGTCCAATTCAAAAGGCTACATTGGTATATTGTGATAATGTTAGTGCCATATACCTTGCTGGAAATCTTGTTCAGCATCAACGCACTAAGCATATTGAAATGGATATACATTTTGTTCAAGAAAAGGTTGCTCGCAGCCAGGTTCGAGTGCTTCATGTCCCCTCACGTTATCAAATTACAAATGTTTTCACCAAGGGTCTTCCGTTATTTGAGGATTTTCGAGAAAGTCTTAACATTCGACGACCTCCTGCTTCGACTGCGGGATGTGTTAGAATATATAATAATATATTCTGATTTATTATAATATATGTTAGGCGTATATTTAGTTCCTTATTTATAGCTAATTTGTTTCCCAATTTTAGACAAATTATACTCTGTATAATATCCGAATTATACTCTATATAATATATAAATTACTCCTAGCCATGGACCTAGTGATGGGGCCCATATGTGTCTTTAAGGATGATCCTCCATCAATGTTTCTCCTCATTTTAATCAAACAAGGTCTTTTTAATATTTAAATTTTCTTATTTTTAATTTATCAAGCAAGTTATATTTTGTCAGATGAAACTACTCTCTAAAGTTAAATTAATAAATTGTCAATGCACCAGTTAACGAATCTTTATGCTTTTGACATTAGAGTTTAATAACATATGATATATTTTATTTTATTTTATTCCACATTATGATCTATGTCATGATTTTATCATTTTGGTAAGACATTTGATCTCACTGGATTGGATCCACTGAAGCAATTATTAATCATTTTTCTATCAAAATTGATAAAATTTTTGTTTGGACGTGGATTTTGAACTCGAATCCAAACATGGCTTAGATGAAATGATTCAGCTAACAATGAAATGCTTGGAGGAGGTGAAAATAAACATAGATAGATGAACCTTTAGAATTATTGTTGAATCCACGTGAAGAGAAGAAATAAGTTGGAAAATGGAAATATAACAACTTTTATCGCGTGAATTAATTAAAAATGTTTCTTAAAATATCTTTTAAATTATTATAAAAGTGAATAAATTCCCAACATATGTTTGTTGAGCTGGAGGAGGGCGATGAATAAGAATTTGAGTAGAAAAACGGCGAAGCGATGAATATTTAGGAGGAAAGGAAAGGAAGTGATTTGAGAATTGCATTGAGGGAGAGGGAAATGGAGGGGATTCAGATCCGAGCAGTGTTGTTATTGGTGGTAGCCTCTCTGAGTGTGGCCGTGGCCGATAGTGTCACCGCAGAGGAAGCGAAAGAACTAAGAGAAGAGGTTCGCGAAATGTTCTATCACGCCTTCAATGGATACATGGACCACGCTTTTCCCCTCGACGAATTGAGACCTCTCTCCTGCGCAGGACAGGATACGCTCGGTGGTTACGCCTTAACCTTGGTGCGTACAACATTCTATCTCAATTCATTATCCGTTTCTCCTTTTCATTCTAATTCTTATTGTAATGCATCCATTCCAATCAGATTGACTCGTTAGACACTTTGGCTTTACTCGGTGACCGCCAACGCTTCGCTACCTCCGTTGAATGGATTGGTAAAAACCTTCGTTTTGATATAGTGAGTATGACTATGCGTAGACTACTCCACCCCTCCACCTCCAATCAAACCTCTAACCCTAACCCCTTTTTCTTCAATCTCTTTTATTTCCTTATCCTTTCTTCTACTCGCAGAATAAGACCGTTTCTGTCTTTGAGACTACTATCAGGGTCCTCGGAGGATTGCTTTCGGCTCATCTTATTGCTGCTGATTATGCTACGGTATCTTATTAACTTATTATACAATAACAACGCATATCTTATAACAATTTCAAACTCAATGGTGACCCTATCTCTTGTTTCGTGCTTGCTGAGGGCACGTTAGGGTTTCTTACCTTTGGTTTCCAGCTGGATACCAACTTGCTCTCTTGCTTAGCAAGGGGATTTGGATCTTGGGAGTTTGCAATCCCATTTTTATTTCTTTGGTAGAGAATTGGCTATACTATAATACCTTTTTCTATAAACTAATTCCTTGGGAACCAAGTAAGTCATATAATTTTCCTTTTGTACTATTAACATGATCTGAGGGAGAAGGTTGTCTTCAGAAGTGTTGTTGTCTTTCTACTTACCTTTTTTTTTCCTTTGATGTTTTCCTGTTTATCATTTATAGGAATTTTTTCTTCTTGTGAAAATACTTTTTCACCTATTAAGTTTTCATGGGTTTTATTTTTTGGCTGCTTTTATCATAGAATTTCTGAGCTTGAGGTAAAAAGAAGCATCAAAGATATGTCAGAGTGATTGGTAGTAGTGTTGGAGTCCGTGCTTAATAATAATAGGTGGTTTTGGTATGTTTGGAGAGGAGCTGTAGAGGCTCCAATAAAGAGTGTAGATCAGACAGAGGGTAGACCTATTGCTAGGGGTAAAGGGAGACAAAAAACTATAGGTGTAAGTGTGTAACCATTTGGAAGTTTTAGAGATCATTGATTTGTTTATAGAAATTATGCACAATAGAATATTATGATGTTGTTTGATTCATGTAGCTCAACTCCACTTACTGGTGAGCTCCACTTAATGGGAAATGGCCTGGTTGTTGATGTTGTAGTATCTATGCATTCCCAGCATATTGATTTGGCATGTCATGATTCAGTTCTCTTGTTAATGTTAATTCATATTAGAATATATTTGTACAGTGTTTTTAAGTTTTCAACAATTATGTTCACATTTGTTGTCTGCAGGGCATGAGAGTTCCATCATATGATAATCAGCTACTAAACTTAGCTGAAGATCTTGCCAGGAGGTTGTTACCTGCATTTGATACCCCTACAGGTATTACTCAATCATACACAATTATGCTTGTCTTTTTGTAACTTGCTCTCACTATCATCTTTCTCAATTCCAGAAAGGGTTATTTTATTGCATAAATATGTTATATTTTAAATTTTCACTCTTTATGGCATTTTATACCACTATACTGTTGACAAACACTGACACATACATGGTGAAGCATATGTCGAGAATGATACTATGTGTTTATGGCAAAATCCTGAGTGGTTAGTGTAGGATGGTTAAATTACAAGGGTTGAAATTTGGCACAATTTTTTTAAAAGGGGTAATTTTAATCAGGGAAAAAGCAGGAAAGTACAGTGAAGGTGAGAGGATAAGGTATACTACAAAACATTTTTTTAAAAAAATAAATAATTCAGCAAGGCTGCTCATCTCTGCAAATTGGATAGGGCAACTCCCTTGAAACAGCTATGAGCAGAACATCAAATAGAAGCTAAAAGCATAATCCTATCCCATAGTAGCAAATTTAATTGCAAAGTCCCTCTTAAATATCCATGCATGTTGCTCTAAGCCTAATGTACCAAATTGCATAAACTGCACGTTGTGTCAAGATTTTGGCTTCATATGTTTTTAATGTGACCTACAACTACAACCAACCTCCCAATAACTAGAAAATATTTTGTTTAATTCGTTCACCACACCAGATCATTGGAAAGCCCTCATAATTCTTCATAGCTTAAATGAACTAAAAGATGGAACCTTAAAAAAATGTTGCTATCCTTCTCTGAGAAGAGAGTGGTATCATTCAGCAAATTTAAAAAGTGGAACTCTCATATTATCTGAACCAACTCTGGTACCCTTGGTGAGATACTTATCTAGGACTCTCAAAAACATGTGACTTAGAACAAGAAAAAGAACATGCGTTCTTCTTGCTTGACTTGCCATACATGAAACCAAGTTTTTCATTATTTGCAATCACAGGAAAACAAGGGCAGTGAAGAGACATCTAGAATCAGTGTCCCAGTTATTTATTTTTAGTGATGCAGAACTGCTCATTTTTTTAGCTTAGCTTAAGAGAGAATGCTGTTTTAGCTCCCTAACCCAATGTTTTGATAGAGGGAGAGAAATTGGAGAGGAAAGTAAATTTTTGAAATTTGAAAATTTCTCTTCTTTGGTTCAAGAGAAAATGAAGAGATAGAAGAGATAAAAGTTGACTACTTGACTTTTATGAAACAAACATTTCAATTTTTCCCTCTTTATTTTCTTTCTAATTCAAATTTCAAAACTTATCCTCTCATCCAAACAAAGGTTAATAGTTCATCATATGCTGGTTTTGATATGCTATGTTTTTTGCAGGAATTCCATTTGGATCTGTAAATTTGCTTCATGGAGTTGATAAACACGAAAGCAAGGTAAAACAACCTTCTCTTAAGCTTCCTCCTTTTATGTTAGAAACTTAGAATATGTGAGTCTTCAACATAGTCACTTATCTGCTAAAGTGGCTGCTAATTTCAAAATATATATATAAGAAACAAAATTGTGCAAAAAATTAGTGCAAGATGCCTCAGAAACTGGTCTTATCTACATTATTTTCTTTTTGAGAAGCAGAGAATGTTTCCTTACATCAGTTCTCTCATCTTCTTTTGTTTTTGTGTTTATATTGTGTTAAAATTAGTACTTCTGTGTTTAGATAACTTCAACAGCTGGTGGTGGGACCTTGACTCTTGAATTTGGAGTTCTAAGCCGTTTGACAAATGATCCTAGTAAGTATACCATTTTCCCTTTAGGTCTATTGTAAGCATACATTATCAAGGAATCCATGTTATAGTCATTGAGAAGATATGTCAACTAAAGTTCTAAATAAACAAGGACCAAGTGCAATCTTGTACTGTATCCACAGAAAATTACTCTAGAAGTTGTCTTGGTATCATTCACTAGTAAGAAATATGATTAAAGTTGGCCAACAAATGACAGGATTGTATTGATGGCTTTTGTTTAGTGTTCTACTCTCATGGCATACATCGATATTATTCTAGTTCCTATCAATTTTATTTGGCCCAAATGTGTTGGTTGGTTTTTTCTCCCTTTTCCAAGCAGGTCTCTCCCCATATTTGGTGCCCAAAGATTGAGGTGATAACCCACCCTTCTCCGACAATATTTCTGGCATTTCCCTGTGTTTTCTGGCCATTCTCATATCTGTTCTCCACAGTTTCTGGTCATCCCTAATCTCTGGGCACTTTCTGATGAACCTGTCATTGTTTCCAGTCTTTTTACCTTTTAAATTTTTTATTCTATTTGATAGAATAGTGGCCATCCTGCTATAGCATTTTCAGGGTTGTGCACTCTGTGTCACTATTTGGGATTGAGAATTTGAGATTAACAACTATGGTTTTACCATATGCTTTTGATTTTTGACCTTTTTTAATCTATCATCAATCTTTCTATTCTTCACTATCTTGGGGAAGTGGGGACATGCCAACATGGTCTTGTTACTGATAATCCAATCTGTTTGTTTCTTTGACTTGCAGTTTTTGAACAAGTGACCAAGAATGCAGTGCGTGGACTTTGGGCACGACGTTCAAAGCTTAATTTGGTTGGTGCTCATATTAATGTTTTTACAGGTGAATGGACACAAAAGGTACAAAGTATATTTTATTTGTTGAAATCATACATATACACACATATGTGTGTCTATAATGACACTTTTTTATTTGTTTTGTGGCATTATTTCTTTTTTTAGAGAGCAGATTCTTAAAATGATAGAGCCGTAAATATTTAGAATGTGATGCTCTACTTTCTGTACCAATTATAGTGCCTCTTATCTTACTAGTGTTTTATTTTATCTAAATGTGACCACTTCTACATACCCTACTCCCGGGGTCTAAATAAATGTACAGGGACCCTGAGTCCTACCTAAAGCTATGTTAGCAATTCCTGCTTAATCTTCTTCTTTTTCTCTCTCTGTCTCTCGCCCTCTACATGGTGTAAGGGATGGGTTGTCAACTTTGACTTAAACCCTATTTCTCTCATCCTTCTATTGAAAGAGATTGCAAATTGATTATTTTCTAGTTCAGATGGGCTTTGTATGTGTTCTGAGTTGATGGATGCTTTCTTTTTAAATGGATTATGCATGACTATGGAGTCAAAATTCTATTGTGGGGGAGAGGAGCTTTGAAGTTTGACCCAGGTAGAAGTGGGGTGTATCTAGGCAAGAAGTTGACTTACCAACCCTTGACAAGTGTGACAAAGTCCACATAAGTTTGGGTTCAGCTGATTTTTTGCTGCAGCACCTCTGGCTTAATTGCTTTTGATGTTTTCCCTGCCTCATCCAAATTGTTTCCATTGTTCAGAGGAGTGTTGCCGTTCTGGATAGTTCAAATTTTCTTGAATTAGTAGTGAGACTGAAATAATTGAGACATGAAAGTGGAAGGATCACCCAGTGTGAGACTGAAATAATTGAAACATGCAAGTGGAAGGATCACCCAATGGTACATGTCTAGTCCTGACAAAGAACACCATCTTGCCTATGACCCATCTTCTGAGAAGGAAAAGATAGCAGAGGACAATTAAACAGATACTAGAGGATGATAAATTTTCAATCCAATTATTGAAATCATATTTGTTAACTGATGCTGTCCCTGGACATTGTGATGCAGTCACCATTTAGAGGTTTTGTTTGGTAACAAATATGATTTAGTGAAAACATCAGCAAGCTACTCCCTAGTCCTCACATGACAAAGAAATTAGTCCTTGCTGGATATTTTTCATCAACAAATCACAATCAGCCTCAATATGCTTTCTCCTCTCATGTAAGATTAGATTAGAGTAAATGTGGAGGAGTTGCTTAATTGTCAAACTCACATCAAAACTGAATAAGCATTGCACTTTTGACTTTGAGAGAATTCTCACCAAGTACTGGAAAAATCATATCAATGCCATTGTAGCTTGAGCAATAACTATGTATTAGACTCTGCATTCAATCTAGTTACTGCACTCTGCTTCCTACTCCTCCATGAAACCAAGTTACCCCCATCAAGGAACAATAACTCGAAGAAGACTTCCTATCAAACTATGTGATGACATTTGCTGAAGTTTATATGTTCTAGGTTATATTTTAACTTGGGTTTCCTTTTGTTGACATGCTGAAAGCTTAGTAAGCTTCCAGCTTGAGGGGGAGTGTTAAGAATATAGTATAATAACAAGGAAAATGTTTTCATGGTTTAGTGACTAGTTACTTGTAGTGCAGTCAAAGAAGAGTATAAGAGTCATTATGCACTTACTCTGGTTTCTGAGCATAGTAGTGGTTTAGGTTTGGCTTGTGTATTCTACTATTTTGAGTAATTAATAAGTGAACTTTCTCCTTCTGTCAGGAACCAGAGGGGCCTTGGTGTAAAAGCAATAATGATAAAGGTGAATGATAAGGGCTCTGAACAGAATATTTGTGTTATTGTTCATTGGAGGCAAACTACCTCAATAAATACAAGATATAAAGCAGACATTCTTCTATAATTAAGGATAATTGATTATTAAATAAAGGTGACAAATCTTAACTAAAAGGGATAAATAGGGGAAAAAATAGTGGGCAATATTTCTCTATAAACAGTAGATATAGCAACAAAAGGTAATAAGAATATAAAATGTGCATAATGATTGTAGGGTTCAGTTTGACCTTAAACAAAGTTGTTGCTGTTGACGGTGGTTAACTTTTCCTCAGGCTCTAGACTTGAGCTTATCTGTGTGTTAATTAGTTAATTTGTTATTCATTTCTTTGGTAAGTAAATTACTTAATTTGTAGGGTTTGTGTTGCTTCTCAACTAGATGTTGGCTTAGTTTATTGCTTCTCAACAGTTATTTATTGTTAGCTATGTTTTAGTTGTATAGTTGTCTGTGAAAGTGAAAAATATGAATTTTCTGTTGTTTTACAATTTATAGATTATGCATCCGTTTGTCATTGCCTCACTGATCTTTCTCTACCTGAATATGCCCAACTTTTCAATTAGGACATAGATTCTTTCATTTTATGTGTATCAATAGTTACTACAGTTATCTCTTTGCCTTCTTGCAGGACGCTGGGATAGGAACTAGTATTGACTCGTTCTATGAGTATCTGTTGAAGGTTAGTAACAGAAATTTAGTGGGGTGAAGCCTCTATGGAGCAATTTGTACTGAGGAGTTAATTCCTAGTTTCCTATGATTATGTAGAAGAACTATGGCTTGATAAACCAAAACATACATGTGATACTTTACAAATTTTGTATACAAATATTTTGTGATAATGTATTTCCCTATGTGCATGTTTGTGTGTGAACACACTTATTTTTGTTTTATTTGCTGTTTTGGCTTTATTATCTAATTTGATATTATTCCCATTTGTACATGTTTCTTCTTTTGCTTCCTTGCAATATATCTGATTGAGGGAAAAAAAGTCTTATAATCTTGTTCTGTGCTTTCTTTATAAATTAATCAGTTTGTCTTTTACCAAAATATTTAAAAGCAAGTAAATTTCTTCCTGCATCTACCAGAAACAAACAAGTAAAATTGCTCAGCATGATATTCTTCCTATTACTATTCTACCATTTGTTTGAATTCTGTGTAAAGGATTTCCTCAGAATTCTTTTTATACAGTATGGGCTTTAACAACACAATATTTTATAAGAACAGGTAGAAGTGAGAACTGTAATTTTGACTTTGTTTAAAAATTCTAAAATTAGTCGGCTTGTTTGTGCCAACTTATTTATGCTTTTCAGCTCTATTTTGCTGAAATGACATATGATTCATTGATTCTACAACATATACAAGTTGTTCTTAAAGTTAAAGATCCTTTTTTGAGGAAAATTGCAAAATGAAATAAAGGTTAAAATATTTTAAATATTTTAAATATTTTAAATATTTTAAATTCAAGGACATTTATATACCCATGTTATTATGTCATCTAGTGGTTATTGATCATCCAATTTTGAAATGTTATTAACCGGGCAGAATAATTTTAGGTAGAATTCTTTTTTGTTGTTGTTTTCCCTTTTTTTGGGGCATTACTATGTTAGTTGATGTGCATTGAGTTCTCTGAATTTGTTTTCCATACATGACCTTTCAGGCGTATTTATTATTTGGAGATGAGGAGTACTTGTATATATTTCAAGAAGCTTATGCTGCTGCCATGCATTATCTTTACCATGACCCTTGGTAAAAGTTTGTGGCTAATATACTTGACTTGCTGTCCATAGTTCTTTCAAATGCATACATATGTTTATTTTCAAATGTATTTCAAGTTTGAAACTCAGATTTGTGTTTATGCTTCAAGGTATGTAGAAGTGAATATGGACTCTGCTGCTATTGTCTGGCCATTATTTAACAGCCTGCAGGCATTTTGGCCTGGCCTTCAGGTTTTCATTTTTCTGTGTTTTGATATAATAGTATTTTTTGTTGACTTGGGATAAATAATATCATGGTAGGGCTAATTGAAATGTGTAATTTTGCAAGGTTTTAGCTGGAGATATCAATCCTGCAATCCGCACCCATGCTGCCTTCTTGAGTGTCTGGAGAAGATATGGTTTTACCCCTGAGGGCTTTAATCTTGCTAGTCTTAGTGTTCAGGTATAATTAGTCCTAACACCAGAGGGCCAATGTGGCTATTAAATTGATGCTTAATTATAGCTTCAGCATTCTTCCTATTAGTTGTATTTTAGGGTAGGGTAATTGATGATTGTTGCACCAGAATTAGAGTGACGTTCTCTTAAATAAACTTCTATCTCAAATATCTGTTCATGGCTATTAAAATGATACTTAATTATAGATTCAGCCTTCTTTCTATTAGTTACGTTTTACGGTAGGGTAATTGATGATTTGTTGCACCAGAATTAAAGTGATGTTCTCTTAAATAAACTACCTCAAAATATCTGTTCATGTAATGTAAGTAAATCTTGTTTTAAAATGTATCTCAATGGAGAGAAAATTGGGAAAGACTTGGGAAAATAAAAATGTCAGAGACTAGAGATGGAGAGGGTCTCGGAAGAGAAGCAATGAATAAATTCTATCCCACAAATGTAAAGCCAATTTCTTAGAAAGTGTTAAGATGTCCCACATTGACTAGGAATATGGCCAAAATACTAAGACTAAGATAATCTTTCTCTCTTAAGCTAGCTTTTCAGGTTGAGTTAGGTTTGATTCATTTCTTATATGATATTAGAGCCTAGTCAATCTTGATGAGTTACTTTTTGAAGTTGGTTAGGTCCAGTTTATTTCTAATATGGTATAAGAGTCTATCTAGTCTTAATATTGGGACATAGAAAATGTTTAGTCCAGAAAGTTTATGGTTTTATGCTCAAGTTATCTAGTCTTTGGTGCAAAGGGTGTGTTAAGATGTCATGCATTGGCTAGGAATATGGCCAAAATACCTGTTATATGTCTTGGACAATCGTCCTCCTTTAAGCTAGCTTTTCGGGTTAAGTTAGGCTAAGTTCATTACTTCATTTTTAGTAGACTGTACACTGGTAAAGGCAAAGCATTTAAAATGATTCAGACATAACTTCTTCATTGCAAGCCACACCCAATGATTGTCAGGAGTCCCTAAAAAATTGTTCCGTAGAAATGTAAAATGCTAGTTGCCTTATAATGGCAAGAACAATTTGAAGTTAGATCTAAACATAATATTGAGAGAAAGATCATTTTGAGGTATAGGACTTTGCAACAAGTGTTGATACTTGATACTAAAACTACTCATAAGATGAACATTAGTTTTGTATTATGGATTTAACTGGTTTGTCTTGTCAGTTTTTTAATTTTGAGCAATCCATGATGTTAATGATAGATTGAGTGTGGAAGATTTTAAGATATAACTAGCTATTGAGTTGATGGCCCTTCATTTTCATTTACATTTGATTGCCCTTCATTATGTTGCTAACAGAAAACATCTTACAATGCTCCTTTTCTTTTTTGAAATCTTTTGGTTGATTATCTATAAATATTTATGAACAGTTTATATAATTTTTCTCGCATTATATCAGCATGGGCAAAAGAGTTACCCGTTGCGGCCTGAGCTAATTGAGAGCACCTATTGGCTATACAAAGCTACCAGAGATCCTAGGTTTGCTTATATATTCCTTTAAATTGTATTATCATTGTAAAATTTGGCTCATGTCTGATTTGGTAATATTAATTACTGTATGACAGCTGTGTATATAGTCCATGCTTTGTTTCCTTACAGCTTGAGACAAAAATGGTTTGGTCTTTGGGCAATTCATTTACCACAGCCTTTTTAAAAATTTTCAGTTTCAGTTTACATGGTTTTTCATCTCAATCTCATAATATTATTCACCAAACTCTTGTGTTTCACAATCCTGTACCATTTTCTGTTTCATGGTATTTTATTTTATTTTTGTTTTTTGTTCTCTCTAAATATGTAATTTTGTCACTTCTCTGATCATCCTCCTTCTATGCTTTTATTTTATTTTATTTTATTTTTGTTTTTCAATTTCTGCTACACTGATCTTGTTTCTCAGAGACCATTACTGGCACTGTTCAGTCCTTAGTTTCCATTCACAATTTCACATTGTGTTGATCCTTCGAAGCTTGCAAGCTAACATCCTGATAGATACCATCAAGAATTAGGGTGAAGAATATGCCACTGGTGAATGCAGTGGGGGCACTGGCGGGAGGGGGCAAGTTTTTATCCTCATTGGTTGGCCTTTGTTACAATCAAGAAATGAGAGAAGAGTAATTGTGTTATGTCAAGGATTGCTGATTACTTGTTGATCTCTTCTTTATAGTATAGATATAATTACGATAGGGGATATTATAAATTTATACTTAATGATGGAGATAACAAAATCACTATTTAAAGACTATTTGGTTACAATTGTGTTCCCCCTCTATGCCTTACACCCTCTTAATCATTGGTCTCCTATCAGTTGCCTTAATGCCTTTTCAGCTGTGTTTATGATTGTTTATATAAATATAAATATATATATATATATATATATACTCTAATGTTATTTTTTAGAATTTTACAATTTTGTTATATATATATATATATGAAGAGGGATCCATTTATTTTAGAAGTAAGTCTACCAAGACTTACTCTATTCAATAACTCATGTTCTACATCAAATTTCAACGATCCAACCATTGAAATTAAAGTTTTTAATGCATAAATCAAGTTTGCAAATTTTTTAAAAATTTGAAAACTATTTGATACTTCATTTCATTAATTCAAATTGATAGATAATCATAAAATCATTTTATACATTGATTTGAATTAATGAAACGAAGTATCAAATGGTTTTTAAATTTTTTAGAAATTTGCAAATTTGATTTATGCATTAAAAACTTTAATTTCAACGATTCATTTGATGTAGAATGAGTTGTTGAATAGAGTAAGTCTAGATAGACTTACTCCTGGAGTAAACGGATCTCTCATATATATATACTAGAATTTAAGCTTAGGGCCTAACTCAACCCCAAATAGCTATTTGTAAGGTGAGGATTGCCCAAGTTTTTTAAGCCATATATCTAGCTGATGTGGGACTAAACATCACTCTTGAGGCTGCAATTGAGTCAGCCTCTTTCTAAAGAGGCCACAATTCTATGGTGGAATAGGGGTGATTGCAATCAAGGCTTCTTTTCAATACTTAGTCACTCATTGCTCCGCCCTGGAATGTGGCAATGCAGGTAGCCCAACATTGGATCTATGATAGGCTATGTAACACATTTACTGAATAATAAGAAAGCATTCTCATTTTGAATTCTCACTAAAACATTTTGTTCTATCTCTTTCACTTCCCCTCTAAATTTAACTGTTAGAAAATCAATTTCCCTGGGAAAAAAAAATCTACTGAAAGTAGCTTCTGGGTGGGAAAAAATCCTTTTAATCATTATAGTCTATAGATAAATGGCTTTTTTTTGTTGCTATTTTTCCTTTGCTTTTAGAGGACGCCATAATTTTTTCCTCCCTTTTCTCTGAAAAAGGGAAATTAGGATTACTTTTTCTTGTTGAACTTCTATGTATTTTTTGTTAATCGTTGTGACGTAAGTTTTAGTCAGTTGACAATTTGACATGAAGCTTGATTTTGTCCTTTGTAGATATCTTGATGCCGGGAGGGACATGGTTGCTAGTTTACAGTATGGAACTCGATGCCCTTGCGGATACTGTCACATTTCAGATGTTGAGCATCACAATCAGGAAGATCACATGGAGAGCTTCTTCTTAGCTGAGACAGTAAGAATAAATTCTTCATAACATAATTGATAATTTTGAGAACACAAGCTATCAACTTAAAAACAAAAAAAAAAAGGAACATAATCTCTCAGTTGTATTTTATTGAAGATTGTTGTAGCGTGTAATTATGTATAGAATATATTTCCTGATTTATTAGGATTAGTTTTTCCTAATTTCCTCCTCATTATTATTATTATTATTATGTACAGTTTGTTAGCCTAAAATCTATAGGTTAGCATTTATTTCATTTATTTTTCTTGTCTATATATGTTGTACCTACTGCTGTAAAGAATCAGAAAATATAACATACATTTCAGTTCTCTTTCCAAGTAAGATCATTGGCCAAGATAGGTAGATTGATTTTATTTAGGGATCCAAATAGTCTCTCTTATAAGATTGAGAATTGTGTGGTATATTGTGATTTTAGATGAGGCTCTGATATCATGTCAAGGACTAACAATCCTAGAAGCTCAAGTTGTTAAGTGGATGTCTATGAATGGGTTTACGTCTCTTCAGTTTCATTTTGTCTTATATTTCTACTTTTCTTTCTTTATAAATTATGCCTCTTATACCATTAACATCTATCTTGCTTTTCATATTATCTTTTTTCCCCCCATGTATTTATTTAATTTAAAGAAAAATGCTGCTACTAACCTATGTTAAAATTAGGTCAAGTATCTTTGGCTTCTGTTTGATTTGGCTGTGGGTCCTGATAACCTTGTGGAAAATGGGCCATACAAGTGAGTGACTTGTGCATTTGCAATTTAGTGGCTTAACTATTTTGTACAATAAAATGAAGGTACTTGTTTCTACATTTATTCTGTGAAACAGGTACATATTCAGCACTGAAGGTCATTTACTTCCTGCAACTCCTCAAATCTCCCTAGTGAGGGAACATTGTTTATACTATGGGGCTTTTTGTAGAACCGGTGATTCGAGACAAACTTACTTTATGCCAGAGCCTGATGAAGATAAAAAAGAATCCAATGATACTAGATTTTTTGAGAGTTGGACTAAAGCTACATATTCACCAGACTACACTACTTTTGAGCCAAGTGCCGTCTCAGGTTTGATCAAGGTACTTGGTACACTTTCCTCCCTTCTCTCTTGGGCTTCTTTCTCTCGTTTTACAGTATTCATATTACTTGTGTGGTTGTGCTAAATATTACAATTTGATCTTCTATTTCCCTTCATTCATTCATGTTGCTATAGGAATATTTATTTTGTTAGGATTTGGGTTCCACTGCATATTTTCTATTTCTTATTCTGTATGTTGTGAGAAGGAAAAAAAGGAATAGTCTGTTGCCCATTCTCTCTTCAAAGTTCAAAATTAGATTAAAACTATAAAATATCAATATGGTTACTGTGTGGTATGTGTTGACTCATTGACTGTTGACAACTTCGGCATATATTGGGCTGGAAGTTTTCTACAACTTGCAGACTGTGTTTAGGTGCTTACAGCAGCGTGTCAAATAAAACAAAGTAGTTTATTTTGTCTTTGACATTATGACCTGATCAGACTGCTTGGGTTAGCATCCCATTCGTTTTGGTTTTTGGTCTAAGCCATACTCCGGTAACCTGATGCAAAAGGCAATGGAAGTGTAAAATGTCAGAGTATTGGTCCAACATTTTCATGACCTCATCAGTCAATGCTCCTGTGCCAGCCATCTCGTGTATATTGTCTCTCAAGCATGTTCTTGCTTTATAGGTTTGAACTTTGAAGTGACATAAATTTTAGCTCACAAGTGGTTCTGTAGAAATCTGATTAGTTTTCTTGTGTATTTTGGGATTTTGTTTATTATTTTACAATTCCATTTGGAACAACTATTTCATGTCGAGTATTTTGTTTACATTTCTGCAGGGTTTCTGCCCAGGATTAAATCATGGACAGAAGTTTGGTATATTATATGCGCATTCAACTGATGAACGTCATTATTATGAAACCAACCAAGTCCAGCAGAAAGAACCAACTACTGTGCAAAGCCATTCAGTATTGGTTCTTCGTGGCCAGAGTTCTGACCATTTGCCACCAGACCATGGCAGTGTTCATAATGATAGTCAAACACGTGAATCAGACGTTACTCTTTGAAGTTGGAGGGACTTCTGGTGCTAGTAGAAACCAAGGTTCTGATCCCAGCAACATAGGAATTATAAGATCTCAGTTATGCAAGAGGATTGGTTGGGAAAGATATTATTTTGAACTTCAAAGGGTTTTATTTCTCAAATTTCTGCAGGCTCACCCATCTGAAATTTAAATTCGAGTTTTGTAAGTCTGTCCATCACTGAAAAAGAATGCATTTGGTAATTTCGGCAACTGTTGATAGTGAGCATGGAGCTGAAAGAGTTAAATTATGGATGAACTGACCCGTTAGATGTACTTCTAATGTTGTGCTACTGAGCCTGAGACGTCCTGCCTCCTAATCATTGGGCACGTGTAAAAGAATGTAATTGTAATGTTTTTTGTTGTATCATTTTTACTAAAGGCTCTTGTAACCTATTGTCAGGTTTAAATCTAATCATTGTACATGAGATAGGTATTATCAGATCCTTAAAATTAAACCATAATTTCAATTGCTGATAGAAAGGAAATTATCAATCATCCATTAGATCAAGCACACATATATATTAGATTTCTGGATGTACACTTGTTTTTTATATTGTAAATGCATAAAATCATTACTTTTATTTTTAAATTAAGAGATTTTTTTTTTGTTATATAACTGGATTAACTCTTATAGAAATAAAGTAGTAATTTCTGTCGTATTTTAAGAACATTTTATAATATTATAAGATTAAAAATATATTTGAACATTAAAATTTATGTTAACAATGTAATTATTTTTTATTAAAACAATATCAAAATTGAGAATATTTATTATAAGTAAAATCTCCCTTTACTCCAAAATTCTTTTTTCAAACAGTTAAACGCTATCTTTGAAGGTTGCATATAAATCTCATATCGGCCATTATTCCGATCAGATCCTGTGACTACCAGACTTTCAGGTTATGGTGTTTAGTACTTAAACCAACTAGCATGATTTTAATCTCGATATGCAGCTTGGCCATTCCCATTTTCAAGGTTTTCAGAATTTTCAATAAAGTGTCATTATTGTTTTATTTGGTCCAAAACCCTCAGTGTTCAGTAGTCACATTGGATCCTGACTAATTCAAACTGAGTCGTTTCCATTTAAGCAGCAAAGCGCTCTTTGTGTATGCCTGCATGCATGCATACACACATGTAAGACTCAAACTTGATATTTTGCTAAAGGGGAACCTAGGTTCTTGCTACTTGCATCAATTAACTTGGGTACTATTTCCTTTGTTAATTACATGTTTACTTGTCCTTTCATTTGATCACAAGTGTATTAAGGCATATAAGCTATATTTGATATGAGGTTCATTTATTGTTGGAATAACATCAGGGAACATTATTAAAGTAGTTATCATTGCTCTGTCTGTCTCTCCTCTTCCTGCTTTGTGTGTATGAATAATTGCTTGTTGACAGGACTATTGTTTTGCTACAGGTGGCAATCTCTTTGGCTGCTTGCATATATTTTCTTAATGAAAAGACAGAGCATGGCTAGAGCATTCATTATTGGGTAAGTGGTATACCTTAATTCAACTTATGTTTTTTTCTATGATTTTTTACTATTTGCCATCACCGTTACCATTATTTTATTTTGCAATATTATAGGTTTGGAGCTCTAGTGGCTGGATGGGTCTCTGGTACAGTGCTGTTACCCAATATTCCATCTAAGTTGCTGCGCCCAACTTGAACACTTGAGCTCTTAATGTCTTTGGTATATTTAACGTGTTATTGTTTATTGCTTGTACTTTTCTCAAGTGAAGTGACAACTATTCTTTCATGTTTTTTTTCGGTGATGAGTTTATAGGTGATCAAACTCAACTTTCTTTAGCTAGCTAAATTGTTTACTGTGGTGCTTTTTATGAAAACAACTTTTTGAGTTGGCAATGGTCAGCGTAGATATTATTACTTAGCCTTAATTACTTGTGAAGAAACACAATCCCTACAAATCAAGTAATATACTTACCGAAGAAATGAATAACAAATTAAGTAATTAACAGACAGTTAGAGCCTGAGGAAAAGTTAACCACAATCAATAGTGACAACTTTGTTTGAGGTCAAACTGAACCCCAAAATCATTATGCACATTTTATATTCTAATTACCTTTTGTGGCTATATCTACTCTTTTTTACATTTTGAGATATCTTGTTTGCTATTCTTTTTTTTCCCCCTATTTATCCCCTTTAGTTAAGATTTGTCATCTTTATTTTACTTATCAATTTCCTTAATTACAGAAGAATGTCTGCTGTATATCTTGTATTTATTGAGGTAGTTTGCCTCCGATGAACAAAAACAGAAATATTCTGTTCAGACCCCTTATCGTTTACCTTTATCATTACTGTTATTACACCAAGGCCCCTCTGATTCCTGATTGAAGGAGAAAGTTCACTTATTAATTACTCAATAATAGAATTCACAAGCCAAACTTAAACCACTACTATAGTCAGGGTAAGTGCATAATAACTCTTATACTCTTCTTTGACTGCACTACAAGTAACTAGTCACTAAACCATGATAACATTTTTCTTGTTATTGTACTATATCCTTAACACTCCTCAAGCGGGAAGCTTACTAAGCTTTCTGCTTGGCAACAAAGAAAACCCTAGTTAAAATAAAACCTATAACGTATAAACTTCAGCGAATGTCGTTACGTAGTTGGATAGGAAGTCTTTTTCAAGTTATTGTATCCTTGATGGGGGTAACTTGGTTTCTTGGTGGAGTGGGAAGCAGAGTGCGGTCGGTTGATTTAATACAGAGTCTAATACATAGTTATCGCTCAAGCTACAAGGGCATTGATATGATTTTGTCAGTACTTTGTGAGAATGCTTTCAAAAGTGCTGTAAGCCTATTCACAAAATCATGTTTGTTACCATACAAAACCTCTAAACGCTTCCACAATATGGTTACTGTATCACAATGTCCAGTGACAGCATCAGTCAACAAATATGGTTTCAAGAATTGGGTTGAAAATTTATCATCCTCTAATATCTGTTTCATCTTCCTCTGCTATTTTGTCCTCAGAAGTTGCTCATAGGCAAGACGGTGTTCTTAGTCATGACTAGACTAGTACCATTGGGTGATCCTTCCACTTACATGTTTCAATTATTTCAGTCTCACACTGGGTGATCCTTCCACTTTCATGTCTCAATTATTTAAGTCTCACACTACTAATTCAAGAAAATATTAACTATCCATAATTTCAACACTCCTCTGAACAATGGAAACAATTTGGATGAGGCAGGGAAAACATCAAAAGCAATTAAGCCAGAGGTACTGCAGCACAAAATCAGCTGAACCCAAACTTATGTGGACTTCATCACACTAGTCAAGGGTTAGTCAGTCACCTTCTCGCCTAGATACACCCCACTTCTATCTAGATTCTTTTAAAATTCCATCCACAAAATCTACATTTTTAATGAGTTAAATAAATTCGATCAGTAAAATAAATATTTTTTTTTTCCTTGTATCCACCCTGTGGAATCTACAGTTAAATGGACAAGCCAGTAGGCCCAATAATTTTTTAAAATAAAAATTGTTTTCTTCCCCTAAGAAAATATGAGAAGAAATACCTAAAAAAATATTATATAAAAATACATACATCAAACAATTTAAAATATATTTTTTTAAATATTAACATAAAAAGGTTGACATAATTAAACTAAAACATTCAAGTATTAACATATTAAGTTTGCAAATTTAATCTAAAATATATTTACATATAAAAAAAAATCTAAAACATGTTATGGTTATAAAACTGCAATATATTTTAAATAAAAAAATATACTAAATTCAATACTTATTATTTATATTTATTTATTAACAAAATATTAAAACTACTCATTTTAAAATTTCTTATTAAGCCAGCAAAAATAATAACTCTCTTAAACGGGTTGGTCTATGGGTTCGTAGATTAAGTCCATCAAATGTGTGGATTACGGGCCATATTTCATTTTTTTCATAAGAGCATCTCCAGCGACAGATCTTATTGGAGTTCTTAAACATATTTCTCAATTTTCAACATTGGAGTATGTCAAGTGGCTACCACATGTAAGCTACGTTGCTTAATTAAGCAACCGTAGCTAAACTGACAAAAGGAATAAAAAAATATATTTTTACTGTAGGATGACAATTGATGGAGGAGAGACTTATAGGCTTCATAGTTAAAGTTAAGAACTTAAATAAGAAATTTACCATTGGAGCAATATTTTGTAAAAATTCCTAAATCTTACATGGAATAATGGGGTCCACTAAAAAAACTAAGAAATTCACTTAAGCAACTAAACATTGGAGATGCTCTAATTATACAAATTTTTGAAAAATAGATCCGTCAACCATGTGGGTCAGCCGGAAAAACCTAGATATATACCCTTACCCACCCTCAAACTTCAAAGCTCCTCTCCCCCGACAATAGAGTTACGAATCTTTAGTCCATCGAAAAGAAAGCATCCATCAACTCAACACATACAAAGCCCATCAGAAAATAATCGTTTTGCAATCTCTTTAAATAGAAGGTTGAGAGAAATAGGGTTAAGTCAAGGTTGGCAACCCATCCCTCGACACCAGAGCCATCAAAATGGTCTGAAATTCATGAACCAACTTGACCCACCATGAGATTTGAATTGAATTGAGTTAAAAAAAATTGATGCATTTTAATTATAAGAAAAATTTGATCCAACTTACACTCAGTACATCCCTAATTTACTTTATATTATTTGTTGTTTTGGTTTCTAAATATTAGTTTATGTAATTATACATCTATATGATTGATTAAATTCTTTTTATCATATATCATTGACTAAATTTTATACATATTAGTTATGGATTACAATAATTAACATTAACTTGATATTATTAATTAATATTTAATGCAACTATTTTGATATTCTAAGTTGATTAAGTTAATTATAGTTAATGTCTATTTTTATTGATATTTTTTTATTTTACAATAGCATAGTTGTAATTCTAAATCATAAGATTATAAGATGTATTTTTTTTATATAAAATTTAATGTTTTTTAATTAAAAACGAGTCAATCCGTTTAACCTACTAATCTATTGTAAGTCAAATCTGTTGTGAGTTAAATCTATTTTTATAACTCTACTTGACACTATAGAAAGAGAGAGAGAGTCTGAGATATGTATTTAGATAAGAAGAATAGTACATGTAGAAATGTTCACATTTAGAAAAAATAAAACATAAATACAATAGGAATTATTATAATTGATACAAAATGTATAGCGTCATATTCTAAATATTTATCATTTTAAAATTTTGTTATATAAAAAAAATAATACTTAGAACCAAATATAGTGTGATCATAAGCACAGATGTGTATGTTTATGTTATCGATAAGTATATGTATATATGTACATTATAAGTTTGCTTTAAATAGAATTTGTGTTGAGATCAAAAGTTATCAACTAAAGGGGGGAAATTAATCTTATAATGTTAGTGTCTCTGGTCTCTATGGACTCAACTTTTCTCTAAACCTCCTAAAAGGCTGTTTTACTCTTCTCCAAATAATA